GCAGCCACTGTCCTCCTGGCACCGGCCTCCTGGGGAACCGTCCTGCACCCAACTCCAGCCTGCCCTCCTCGAGCAGCGAGTCTGGAAGGGTGGGCAGGCGCCTGGGGAGACCGCCCGGGGCAGCGCTGGGCACAGGGCACAGCCCAGGGAGCTGCAGCTGTGGCCAACGCCCAGCGGGGTCTCCGTGGCCAGGGACTGCACGCCACCGCAGGGTCCAGCCACCTCAGGGCTTGAGTTCGACAGGCACAGGCACCCCCGCCGCCCCACCAGACAGACGTCCCTAAGGAGTCAAGGGCCCGCCCGGACCATGGTCACCGCTCACTCCCTCCCTGACCAGGCCGCAGAGCCGGCCTGCCTCAGCGCTCGGCGCTCACCTTCTGGGTGCTGTAGAAGGGGTCCAGGTCCTCCAGGGGCTCCCCGATGAGCTCGCGGGGCGGGTTGCCGTACAGGTCCGGCAGCTTCTTGGAGGCCTGCAGGTCCAGCTGGGGCCGGGGCGCCTCCTCCTCCGGCAGCCCGGCGCGGCTCTCCTGCGAGGCGGCCGAGCCGCGGGCCTGCTTCTCCGCCATGCGCTTCTCGATGGCCGCCAGGGACTCCCGCGTGAACCTGCGGAAGCTGCCGGTGCCCCGGGGTAACAGGAGGTTTGCCATCTTCTCATCCTGCTTCTGGGGCACGGGCGTCCCTCGTGCTGCCCCTGGGGGACGCTGCAGGACAGAGACGCGGGTCTGAGACTACGTGCAGGGCCACGGGCGGGGAGGGGCCCTGCAGCTGCAGGGGAGCCACGGGGAGGGGGCGTTTGGGGCTCCCCGCGGCCTGCTGTGCCTGCCGGGGACTCGGGGCCCTCCACGGATGGGATGCCTGTGTTTGCACAGGGGACCCCACCAGTCCTGCGGGTTCTGGGAGACAGCCGGGTACCATCCGAGGGGCTGCCACCCAGATGCCGACACTGTGCCGCACGCAGCTGTGGAGGAGCCACCCCCCTCCCCGGTGCACGTGTGTCCTCCTGGACACCCTGGACAAAAGACAGGAGGTGCTGACGGAGGCCCTCTGGCCCCGCGCTGCCTCTCCCCCCCCCACGACGTGGGCAGAGGAATGCGATCCCAAGTGACAGCCGAGCCGGGCACGGTGGCCACTCATCAGCGAGCGTGACGCCAAACCAGGAGAATGTGGCCCCCCGGCGGCCTCACATGATCCAGGACCTGGTGTGAACACACTGCCCCTGACACTCAGGCGGAAGAATGCACTCCTGACAGCCTCACCAAACAGGATGCGGTCAGCTCGGCTCCTGACCGTGGCACCAAGCCCGGAGGGGGCTGTGCCGCCAATGACCACAGCAAACCCGGGACGGCGGCGGCACCGGCTCCCAAGTGCCAGGAGGACACCTGTCAGAGGTCCACGCCAGGGCCCAATGCCCCTCCTCCCACCCCCGCTAACCAAGCGCCAGCCTTGCAAAGCAGGTCAGCGGAGACCCCCCCAACAAGCTGGCCTCGCACAGACCCCTGCCCCTGGCCGGCCAAGGGCCTGGGCTCCAGGGCCCCAGCACCAAGCCCCGGGGTGCTGTGCCGCAGGCACCTGGCCAAATGAGCACCCACAACACGGTCAGGCCCAGGAAGGTGCCTGCGGCCCCCGGGGAGGCAAGGCATGGCCGTGAAGGGGGGCGGAGGACAGGGCTCCAGGGACCGGGGCCGGAGCAGCCTCCCCATGCTGAGTCCCCTCCCTTCATTCAAGTCGGGTAGAGGAGCATCTTGGTTAAAAATAGCAGGTGAGTAGGCTCCCTTCTCGAGAAAGGACTTCCCTGTCTACCTTCCCTCTCTCTGCACAGACAGCTGCGACTCAGCTTCAGATGAGATGGGAGGTTTTTTTCCCAGCTGGTGGAAATTTGGATATAATTTTAAACTTTCTTCTTTGTACTCTCCTCCGCTGATTGAATTCTTTACGACGAGCTGGTTTTATTTTGACAGAAACAATAAGATCACTGCTTTTTCTTGAAACAGTGAGAGCGCCAGCGTGGATGACAGCAGCCCCCCGCAGGGCCGCCCCCTCCCCAGGAGCACCCTAAGTCGGCAGCCACGCCCCAGGCTGAGCATCACTTCCGACAGATGACGTTTGCTTACTGCGCCCAACCATGTGCGCGTGCCCGCGAGGGAGCGGGAGACACGCGGACCCCTGTGGACCTGCCGGGCTCAGAGGCACCTGCCCGCCGTGCAGCTCGGCGTGGCCAAGGTGTGCTCGCGACCTGTGTGGAAGTAAACGGCACACGCAGAGGTGACCATGCGTGCACGGGTGGCTGTCTGCACACTGGGCACAGCTGCGCAGTAGCACCCAGACAGGACAGACCGTTCACAGCCCCGAGACTTGCGCCCCTCCCCAGCTACGGGGGGAATCGGGGCTCCCTCTCCCCAGGCTCTGACTCCTCTGCAGCACTTCTGTCAATCATGAAGGTGGGGGACCACGGAGCCCCGCCTCCCTGTCCCACGGAGTGAGCGCCCACCACCGCTGCCAGGTTTAAGCCGGTCACCAAGAAGCACGCGCGTCACGCTGCAGAACTGGCTTCTGGGTGCTCTGAGGGCTGCATCTCCACCAACCGGCTTCTCTTCCAGCTCTGCGTGTTCTATCGTGAACACCGCGATTCTGGGGTCAGGCTCAGCCAACTGTAGAGGAAGGGGGAAGGGTCCCTGGGGGCCGTCCTCTGCACCTGGCTTCCTCGTCTGCAGGCGAGGCAGGTGGTCGGCGTGGCCCCGAGTCCTTGGGGGTCCTCTGAGGCCATCCCCACGTCCCCCGCACATGGGGCTCTGGGTCTCTCCTACGGGGGACAGCTCCGAAGGCTCTCCCGGGAGGAAGTGTGGCCGGGGGATCCCGCCTACTCCCCAACTCTTGGGCCTGACCCCTTCCACTCTGCGTCTTGCCGTGGGGCCCAGTGGGAGGGGCAGAGTGACCTCCAGGAGCCATGCCCGACCGCCCCTGCCCACCAAGCCCTGGCCGGGAGCAACTGAAACCAGACTCCCGATGAGGCCGCCTGCTCCCCGCAGCCACGGCCAGGCGGCCTCAGGTTCCAAAGTAAACGGCCTTTGTCTCGGGCCTTGCAGGCGGCTCCTGGGGTGGGCGGAGGTGGTGGTGGGCAGGGATCGGTTTTCCCCTTTGTCCTCCCACTGCCTGCACCTGGCTTCCTTCAGCAGCTCAGGGACCCGCACCCCACTGAGAAGCAGGGAGAGGTGGGTGCAGGCCCAGCCCCCCACGCTGACCTGCTGTCCTCTGTGAAGCCACACCCAGTGTTTGCCCCCTCCTGGCCTCAGCTGGTCTCCCCGGATGGCCTGGACACGCCTTCTTAGGGCTGGGATAGGGTGCCCCGCTCCGGAGCCTCTGGCTGGAATACTGGCACCCACATCAGGGCGGAGACACGCTGTAGGTGGCCAGAGTGGGGGCCCTTCTGGAAAGAGGAGCTCCTGGACGGGGGCACACGCTGGGCTCGGCCACGGGTGGTGGCAGTGGTGGAACCTGGGACACCCACAGCCCAAGGCGAGTCCTGGGTGTGCGCGGAGGCAGGGGACCAGCTACTGCTGCCCGCCTCCCAGCACTGAAACTCCTCCGTCTGGGATCCCGCTCAGTCCTGGACACACTAGGGCGGACGGCCACCCCTGGGGTGAGGAGGGAACGACCCGGCCTCCCCGCTCCTCGCGCCCTCCTGCCCACTCCCCTCCCGCGATCCTGAGTCACGGCTGTCTGGCATTTCGGTCGCCTTGGAATCCGAGCCTCTGGAACACAACATGCAAAGCACAGTCTTTGCCATGTAAATTTATGCAAAGCAGCCGCTGGAAGTGGCTCCCAGGCTTCCTAGAAAATCTCTGGCCGCTTCCTCTGCTCTGGGCTCTCCTCTCTCAGCGGTGCAGTCCAGGGGTCTGGCACGGGGTCCACCTGGGCCCGGCCGGGGCAGGGACACTCCTTCTGCCTGCCTCCGGTCTCAAAGAAGAGGCTGACGGGAGGGTGTGGGTGTTCTAGAGGCAGGGGCCAAGCACCAAGGGCACACTCCGCGGGCACGCACCGGCCCTCCCTCTGCTCGGGCCAAGGGCTTGCTGGGGAGCGGGGCGCACCTGCATGGCCAACACCATGGACAGCAGAACGGAAGCAGCGGGGCAGCGGCAGCAGGTGAAGCCAGAACCGCACCCCGGCCGGCCACAGGGCCCCAAACACCGAGACGAGAGCTGGGGACCCCTCTCCCCATCAGTGAAGGCAGCCCTTGCTTCCTGAGGGGAACAGGCTAACTAATGAGCACCTCAAGCTCACAGATGGATTTTAGTGACGGAATAACTCAACGCTGACTTCGCTGCGCACTTTTCCTCCCACGCGAGGGGTCCCACGTCCACAGGCGCTGATGCACAAACGCACAGAACGCCTCTGGCGGCCGGCACAGGAAATCCCTGCCCAGGATCACCTGAGGCCTGGGCCAGAGAACCCGGCCCTGGCAGGGCTGTGGTGAGGGGGACAGCTGGCCCACGTGCACCCGGGCCCTGGCCACTCGCGGGCCATGTACCTGTGGGCAAGTTAACTGAGGTTTCTCTGTTCCGTTCAACTGAGGCTACGCAGGCCCCGTGCCACGGGGCCGTGGTGGGGCACACGTGTGTCGACAGCTCTACCCACTGGGCACAGAGGGTGCGAGGAGGTTGGCCTGACCAGGCCTCTGCCATCGTCCTAGGAGGTCTCACGCGGGGGGCCTTCCTTGTGGCACAGAGCAGGCGCCCCGCCTGGCCAGCCCTGCCCTGCCCTGTGCCCTTGGCGCACCTGTCTTGTCACAGGATAGAAAACCCTTCTTCCACGTCCTCCCTCGTCCTTGGCTTTCATCCTGAGCCCCCAAGCCAGGCCCAGCACAGAGCCTGGGAAGGAAGCAATGGAGGGGAATGAGCGCTGGACTAACTCTCCAGCCGCCCAGCCCGCAAACTCACGCGGTGACCCTGGTCCTTCCTCAGGGCCTCTGTTTCCCCACCTCTGAGCAGGCTCACGGTGGCACGGCCCTGCACTAAGTACTTCTGCATACTCCCCTGCTTCCTCCTTGCGCCAGCCGGAGGAGGAGGGCAAGCACCCTGGCTCTGCACGTGGGAAGCCCTGAAGCCAGGCCTGGGAGCCTGACCGCGGCGCGGCACCGCCTCCAACCTCGCAGCAGGGCACAGAGGGCCCGCAGGAAGCGTGTGGCTTGCCTGCGGCCCACCGGCCCGGACTGGGCCACTCGGTGACCCTCGGACCCCTGCCTACCTCACGTGAGGCTGCTCTGGTCTCTGGCAGTGCCCACGCCTGGCAGGTGCTCCCCAAGAGCCCTGGCCAGGCTCTGCCCGTGGGCCCGGGGTCCACAGGGTGGTCGCTCCCTCCAAGACTGGGAAGGCGACTAGCGGGGCCGAGAATCCACGCTGATGTTGAAGGCCCAGTATGAGACAGAGGGAGTCCACTCTCTCAGGGGTGACTTCAATGTTGATTACAGGGGCTGGCACTGTGGCTCACTTGGTTAATCCTCCGCCTGCGGCGCCGGCATCCCATATGGGTACCGGGTTCTAGTCCCAGTTGCTCCTCTTCCAGTCCAGCTCTCTGCTGTGGCCCGGGGTGGGGGCAGTGGAAGATGGCCCAAGTGCTTGGGCCCTGCACCTGCATGGCAGACCAGGAGGAAGCACCTGGCTCCTGGCTTCAGATCGGCACAGCGCTGCCAGCCATAGCGGTCATT